TCTCACTCACCTCCCTCATCCCCTCCTCCTCCTCTCATTTCCTCCCACTTCCCCATCTCCTATCCTCTCTTCACCTCTCCCTCTCCTCTCCTCTCACCTAGATTCTCCTCTCATCTCCTACCCGTCTCCCCTCTTTCCCTCTCCCTCTCTCTACTCTCCCATGCAGATTATTCTGTGCTGTTTCATGTGGAACCTTTGTTAGCATGTCCCTTGTGCCATGCTGTCCAGCAATGCTGATTTAAATGCTGCACTGACAAAGGCTGAATAATAGCTCCTACTGCTGTTAACCTGCTGTTAATATTTAATAGCAGAGTTAAACCATGAAACATTCATTACATCATAGTGTAGTAGGACTTCAGTCAGAGACCACAGCCTCTCACCTTGCTGGCATGACACAGAATTATTTAGATCTCTATGGACAAGATGGAGGGAGGGGGAGATAAAGAGAGAGATAGAGAAGGGGGGGGGGGGGGGCTCTGGAGTAGTAAAAAGTAGTACACACATGAACAGAAATACATAAACACAGCACACACACACACCCTCACCCCTTCTCAGATCAACGTTGTCCTGATGATGATTCACAACATACAGAGATCTCATTCTGCCTGCTCGGCTGTTTCTACCAACTGTTATTTTTCAACTCCTCTCAGACCTCATTGATTTTCATAGAAACTAATTTCTGCATGCCAAATGTTATTCTAATGACAAATGTATGAGCATCACATTGAAAGTGTCTGTCTGGAGTAGTAGGGACTGTCCAGCATGGTGAGAGATGATTTCATAACTCCATTTCAACCTTCATCTGTTTGGCTGTTTGTAGAAATATGTCAGAATATTTATACCCTGAAAGGAAACAGTGGTACACTATTCCTTAGAGATCTCAATGCTGTGTGTGTGTGTCTCATGATTACTACCAGAAGTCAGCAGAGAGGACATCCAGTATGTGACTCTGGTCATCCTTTAGTTACTACTCTTCTGTTATAACAGGTGGTTCATCAGGACTGGGTTCAGAAAGGACTGGGTTCATCAGGACTGGGTTCATCAGGACTGGGTTCATCAGGACTGGGTTCATCAGGACTGGGTTCAGAAAGGACTGGGTTCATCAGGACTGGGTTCATCAGGACTGGGTTCAGAAAGGACTGGGTTCATCAGGACTGGGTTCATCAGGACTGGGTTCAGAAAGGACTGGGTTCATCAGGACTGGGTTCATCAGGACTGGGTTCATCAGGACTGGGTTCAGAAAGGACTGGGTTCATCAGGACTGGGTTCATCAGGACTGGGTTCATCAGGACTGGGTTCATTTCATCAGGACTGGGTTCAGAAGGACTGGGTTCATCAGGACTGGTTCAGAAGGACTGGGTTCATCAGGACTGGGTTCATCAGGACTGGGTTCAGAAAGGACTGGGTTCATCAGGACTGGGTTCATCAGGACTGGGTTCAGAAAGGACTGGGTTCAGAAAGGACTGGGTTCAGAAAGGACTGGGTTCATCAGGACTGGGTTCATCAGGACTGGGTTCAGAAAGGACTGGGTTCATCAGGACTGGGTTCATCAGGACTGGGTCCATCAGGACTGGGTTCAGAAAGGACTGGGTTCATCAGGACTGGGTTCAGAAAGGACTGGGTTCAGAAAGGACTGGGTTCAGAAAGGACTAGGTTCATCCGGGCTGGGTTCAGAAAGGACTGGGTTCAGAAAGGACTGGGTTCAGAAAGGACTGGGTTCTTCTCATGTTTCATTCCTCATCTAGACCTGTTGTGTTGTGGTGGGAAACAGACTCAGAGCTCTGGTGAAAAGTGATCCTGTCACAGTAATGAGGATACAGCTTATCAGCCCAGACTGACTCTTCTGTTTACAAACATCTGTCATAATCAATACAGATGACTGGAGAAGAGATCCTTTCTGACTGCAGGAGGCTAGTTACTGATCAGATGAATTGATTATGTTTCATTTCTGGTGTTATGAGACGAGATCTAATGCTGCATACAAACTTCTCTGGACAAGTTCTCAGTGTGTGTGTGTGTGTGTGTGTGTGTGTGTGTGTGTGTGTGTGTGTGTGTGTGTGTGTGTGTGTGTGTGTGTGTGTGTGTGTGTGTGTGTGTGTGTGCGTGTGCGTGTGCGTGTGCGTGCGCGTGCGTGTGCGTGCGTGCGTGTGCGTGTGCGTGTTTCCATACATGTGTACAATACTCTGAAACTCAAAATGGAACTGCATCTGTGGTTTTTAGATGGTCTTAGTCTCCCCCTGTTGGTTATTGGTAGGTGTCACAGATTGAAATGGACAAAAGCATTATACATTTATTCTAATGTTTCAGTTTAAAGCAGTGTTCTGCCCTCACAGTGTGTAACTGCTACAAAGCTTGACAGACAGGAGACAGCTGACAGTTACAGTAAAGAAGACCAGGAGGCAGGAGTTCAGTTTAGGTTTCTTTAGTTAATTATATTTAGTAAAACTGCAATACAGAAACATTTTACATTTACGTCATTTAGCAGATGCTCTTATCCAGAGAAATTAGGGTTAAGTGCCTTGCTCAAGGGTACATCAACAGATTTTTCACCTTTCGGTTACTGGCACAACGCTCTTAACCACTAAGCTACCTGCCCCCCAGAAAGTAGAACATGTTGTATCACAAGTTGTTCTGCATATGCATTTACATTTTTTACATTCACATTTTAGCAGACGCTCTTATCCAGAGCGACTTACAGTTAGTGAGTGCATACATTATTTTTTTCATAATTGCCCCCCATGGGAATCGAACCCACAACCCTGGCATTGCAAATGCCATGCTCTACCAACTGAGCTACATCCCTGCCGGCCATTCCCTCCCCTACCCTGGACGACGCTGGGCCAATTGTGCGCCGCCCCATGGGTCTCCCGGTCACGGCCGGCTACGACAGAGCCTGGATTCGAACCAGGATCTCTAGTGGTACAGCTAGCACTGCGATGCAGTGCCTTAGACCACTGCACCACATAATGAATACAGCAATCAATAGCATGACTCCATGCATTCCAAACCACCATCAGGGCCTTGTCATGTGTGGCTGTATCCTCCCTGGACATGCATCATAATGTTGTCATGGTAGCCTATATAACTCCAGGGCAGCCAGACAGAATGGTGGTGGACATTATGTACTAAAAGCACCTTGGAGCAGAGCTCTACCTGCCTACAATTGCACCGGAACACCCCAATGTTAGCCAGCAGGAAGGCATGTTGGATTCAGGCGGCCATATTAGACTATCAATCAACCAAAGATTAGGGTGTCAAACTAAATTCCTGGAGAGCCTTGTCTGCTGTTTTTTAAAATGTCCTTTCAATTCATGTCCAATGAAGACCTAGACAAACAGTTGAGGGGAGTTCCTAACTAATCAATTAAGAACTAGACAACCAGCTCAGGGGAGTTCCTTACTTATCAATGACCTTAATTGATCAATCAATACAAAGGAAGTGTGAAAACCTGCAGACACTTAGCCCTCAAGGACTGGAGTTCAACACGTGCTTTAGGCTAATACTTCTAATAACCAAATTACACCTAGCTACACCAAGATCCTTATCAAACATTTGGATATTATTTACCTGTCTAAAAATAAACGCAAGACTAAATAAAAGACAGGTGTTTATGTAGTTTACTTAAAGAACATTTTAATGAAATGAATAATCAGTGCAGATGAAGAGAACAGTAATGGAATGAGAAAAGCCTCTACATGTTGCTAGTACTGTACATTCAGAAAGAGAGAGCCATAGAAAGACCAGGGACACACTGGGAAAAGAAAAGCTACTTCAGTCAACCTTTTGCTTCCACATTAGTTAATCCCTCAAAGAAATGGAAGCACAGACTGGATGATAAAATGTTATCCTCAGTGAGTGAAGCTGTCCAACGTTGCATGAGTTACAAATAAACTCTCCCCACAATATAATGTTTGTACAGAGAGTATAGACAAAATATCTGGATCAGTCATAAACAGTACATTACGTACATAGTCTATATGACACATATCAATGACTCCTGAATATCCTCCAACTAAAGATAAGAAGACTTCAACCTGCATCCCAGAGCCTTATGAAGCAGACACAGAGCCCTCAACACATCATGTATATGGAGCGTTTCTAATCACACATGTTGATCAAACAGGATTAGCAGACAGATGTGGTGCAGACACCAGCCACTAGAGGGAGGTAGAGCACAGGTGTGTGATAATAGAATTACGTCAACATTTTAGTCATTTCGCAGACGCTCTTATCCAGAGCGACTTACAGTTAGTGAGTGCATACATATTATTTTTTTATTGTTTTTCATACTGGCCCCCCGCGGGAATCGAACCCACAACCCTGGCGTTGCAAACACCATGCTCTACCAACATCCCTGCCTGCCATTCCCTCCCCTACCCTGGGCCAATTGTGCGCCGCCCCATGGGTCTCCCGGTCACAGCCGGCTACGACAGAGCCTGGATTCGAACCAGGATCTCTAGTGGCACAGCTAGCACTGCGATGCAGTGCCTTAGACCACTGCGCCTCTCGGGAGGTCAATGATGTGCCGTAGTTGACAAATCTGTGGAGGGAGCTGAAGGTTTGAGTTGCCAAACGTCAGGCTCGAAATCTTAATGACTTGGAGAGGAGTGGGACAAAATCCCTCCTGAGATGTGTGCAAACCTGGTGGCCAACTACAAGAAACGTCTGACCTCTGTGATTGCCAACAAGGGTTTTGCCACCAAGTACTAAGTCATGTTTTGCAGAGGGGTCAAATACTTATTTCCCTCATTAAAATGCAAATCAATTTCTAACATTTTTGACATGCGTTTTTCTGGATTTTTGTTGTTGTTATTCTTTCTCTCACTGTTCAAATAAACCTACCATTAAAATTATGGACTGATCATTTCTTTGTCAGTGGGCAAACGTACAAAATCAGCAGGGGATCAAATACTTTTTTCCCTCACTGTACCTGCCAGTGGGATGACTGTTTCCTTACTGGGTTCACTCATGTCTCCCTCTCTATAGACAGCACACACTCTGACTCTGCAGGAGGTGTGTGTGGGTGTTAGGGAGTACACACACTTGTCTCCGTCTGTTAGCAGTGTGTCCCACTCCTCCTGTCCCTCCTCTCTGTACTCCTGTCTGTAGTGGAGCACAGGACGTCCCTCTGCACCTTCCGCTGGTCTTCTCCAGGTCAGACTGACTGAGTTTCTGTCTGCTGACTGGACTACTGGACGCCCAGGTCCAGATCCTGACCCAGTCTCTGTCACGATGATGTCACTGAACCTGTCCTCTGCTCTGTGTCTGATCTGGTACTGTGTCTCTCTCTCTCCAGGTCTGATATCAGACTTCCCCATTATCTCTGGTCTCCATGCTTCTCCACTTCTCCTCATAGAGAAAGAACAGGTCAGTTCTGACAGGTCTGTAATCCACTCTGAACCTGTCAGTGTGTCCAGTCTTTGACCGAGGTAAACTCAGAGTCACTCTGCTCTGCTGTGTGTCTGTTACCTGAACAGGGTCAAGCTTTGACAGGCTCATAGTCAGAGTCCACTAACCTGCCCCTCTGGTAGAGATGGATGGAGACTTCAGGAGTGGATTCATCTGCAATGGAGGCTGCTATGAACTTTAGTTTTTTGTTGGCCTTCATAAAATCCAGAAAAGTGTTAGTTGTGTTTGTGACTCTGTTCTTGTTCTCCTCAGACTTGAACCAGGGCTGAGGGTGCTGGTCGGGGTGGTCAGGCCTGGTCTGGGTGTCTGTCTGTAGGGAGTCAAGATACTGCTTCAGAGATGAGAGATATGGGTCTGTTTCACCCAGAGAGGTGAGAGTGAAACACACCACAGTGTCTGTCTTTGGATCACTGATGACTTCACACAGCTTGTCTATAGACACCATCATATCTCTGATTTCATAGTCAAGACATTGAAGGAACTTCAGCTCATCATCTAAACACTGTTCTGCCACTCCGAACAGATCATGGCCTTTCAGAACCACTTTCAGTTTCTCCTCCTCCTTCTCTCCTGTTCTCACAGACACCAGAGTTGCTTGGTAATGCTGGAGCAGAATTATGAACTGGAATAATGTACCATTCAGGTCAGCTTCAGCTTTATCCTCCATCGTCCCCATCATCTCCTCACACCTTCCCTCTGAATATCTGTAGTGGTCCATCTCTCTCTCTATCTTGGATTGTGGTCCTCTGTAGCTCAGCTGGTAGAGCACGGCGCTTGTAACGCCAAGGTAGTGGGTTAAATCCCTGGGGACCACCCATACACAAACACATTTTTTATGCATGACTTAAGTAAGTTGCTTTGGATAAAAGTGTCTGCTAAATGGCATATTATATTATAGGTCTTCACTGAGCTTTCTCACATAGGCTGTTGCAGGGTGCAGGTTCTTCAGAGGACAGAGCCAAACTGTCAGAGGAACAGCCTTCTCTCCACTGGGCCCCAGCAGCTTAGAGAAGGACTTATAGAGATCAGTGATCTCTCTTTCACCTCTGACCTCTCTCTCTCCCTCAACATCATTATAATATGACCAGGAGAGAACAGAATAGGCATTTTCCCAAGAATCATCTAGTTTAATGACTCCATCCTCTGCTGTGCAAACTGGGATCATATTCTTCACTGTGTTAATAACTTTGCTCTTGTTCCAAAACCAGTCTGTCTTTAAGATGAGGAAGGTCTGAGTTCCGTATGTCACGGCCATGACCACATGTGTGGCTGTTTGAAGCTGAATCACATCAGGATGAGTCACCTTCTCTAACAGGGAGGGAGTCAGCTGATCCAGTCTGGTGGTTCTCTTGTAGTGTAGAGTTACATTGTTCCCTTCGTCTAGGGGTGGATGGTTTAGATACTCTGCAGCTCCTCCCACCTCCACCAGTCCAGACAGGAAGCTGGTTCTGATTGGCTGATCCACTCCCAGAACTCTGAACCTCTCCTGCAGGGAGTCTGTCTCTATTACCTGGGTCTCAGTAGTTGGGATCATCAGGGATGTTTTCCCTTTTATCACAGAGTCTGAGTCCCACAAGGTGTCTGAAGGGAAGAGGACATCTGATATTACAGTAACACGTCTCATTAAATCCAAGACATTTACGTTGTTGGTCCTCCCTACATTCCAAAATATGAGTTGACAGATTCTTTGTCAGATATATTCTCCCTTCCATTACGGTATCTGAGCTACACATGGAGTCTGATTTGAAGGACAGTTAAGATATTACACATCACCATTCACAAACACATTTATTTTAAAGTCTATACATTCCAAAAGAGTTGAGATATCCAGAATGTAGTCCACATTAACATAGCTGTATGTACACTGAAATAAAAAGACAAGTTACCTGGTGTGAAGGAGTCATACAACATTCCAGGGTGAATGGACCGACCCAGAGCTGGAACCTCAAGCAAGCCTGAGAGAGAACACATGGGAGAGTACAGTTAGATGTGGTGTGTGTGTGTGTGTGTGTGTGTGTGTGTGTGTGTGTGTGTGTGTGTGTGTGTGTGTGTGTGTGTGTGTGTGTGTGTGTGTGTGTGTGTGAAAGAGAGAGAGAGAGGCAATTAGTTACAGATAAAATAACTTACTAGCATCAAACAACTATAACTGTCATTCTGATGGGATCATAATCACACTGACCTGCTGTAATATTCACAATCTCAGCCTCCCTGTGACATAGTTCAGAGATTGTTGCCTTTTGTTTTAGCACAGCATTCTTTTTACTGAGCTCACCAACATCATGTTTGAGTTTAGAGATCTCCTGCTCCAAGTCTGACTTAGAGCTATTCAGCTCAGAGATCTCCTTCCTCAGCTCACTGATTGTATTCTTCAGATCAGAAATATCTTAATCAGAAACATCCTCCTCTTTAAATTCCATCTTCCTCTTTTAACAGACACCCTCCTCCTCAGTCTCACTCTCCATAGTCCTCTTCTGTAGAGAAAACATGAAACACACAGTTCAGTTACTGTAATAATAATAAAGCAAGTGTTTGTAAGTATGAGAAACAAGCCAAGTTTTATATCCAAGTAGAGTACAGCTAATAACATTACCTCTTCTGTGTGTCCCCTGTCCCCAGTGACATTTTTACATTTACATTTTAGTCATTTAGCAGACGCTCTTATCCAGAGCGACTTACAGTTAGTGAGTGCATACATTATTTATTTATTTATAAAAATAAAAAAATATCATACTGGCACCCCGTGGTAATCGAACACACAACCCTGGCGTTGCAAACGCCATGCTCTACCAACTGAGCTACATCCCTGACCATCTACGTGACCTCAGCCAGGGTGTGTCTCTGCAGTGCTGGGACGGTGTAGTGCTGCCTGACGTGGCTCTCACAGTAGGAGACAGTGCAGGTCAGACAGGACTTGACCGCTCTGAGCTTCTGTCCAGAGCAGATATCACAGGCCACGTCCCCAGGCCCAGCGTAGCTCAGAGCAGGGAGGGCAGGACTGAAGCCTGCCTGCTGGAGCCCCTGGAGGACCCTGGCCAAGGCTGTGTTAGTGTAGAGCACAGGCCGGCCTCTGGACACACACACATACAAACACACAGAGACAGAGAGAGACAGAGAGACAGAGATAGAGAGAGAGAGAGAGAGAGAGAGAGAGAGAGAGAGAGAGAGAGAGAGAGAGACAGAGAGAGATACATTTTTAACTGTGTACAATTTAGACTTCCTCCAAAACTGTAGCATGTTGCAGTAAATCACCTTAGATCAGGGGTCCAGGTTTCTCTTTTAAAGTTATAGGGTTCCTCCATTGACCTGTCACTCTTCATAGACAGACAGCTGGGAGCAGGAGACCCCACTCTCTCCTGCTTGGTCCATACAAACACACTAGCAGGTTTGCAGTCTGACCAACCCTCTTATCCAACTCCTCTTCTGAAGTTGGACAAATCAGACAGCACACAGACAGGGATGAGCTCCTCCAGGCGTTGAGGCCAGTCAAAGAGGAGCTCAGCGTTCAAAATTGAGAGATATTCAAGGGTCAGAGAGTTGTTATTCCCCAGTCCCTGCGCCCTGAGATGTTGGCGCTCGTGCACTGAAGTCACATTGGAGGTGAGGCCTGTAACAGACAAGCACGTGACACACTGTATTGGCCAGCAATGCAGAGTGAAATAAAATACTATGTCAGTAAATGTACAATTTATAATGAATACGCCATTGAGCACCAGAGAAAGACAATGATGTCCAACGAGCTACCGACGCGCCCCTGGCAAATAGTAAGTCTAGATCTCTTCCAGCACAGTGGCAAAGACTTTCTTCTGTTAGTCGATCATGACTCAGACTTCTGGGAGATTGACCTTCTCCCCGACCTCTCAACAGAAATGACATTCAACTGCTGCAAGGCTCAGTTTGCCCGCTATGGCCAGCCAGATAGGGTAATCTCAGTTAATAGACCCCAATTCTTCTGCTTTGAGTTCCGGACATTTGCTACAGAATGGGAATGTCACCTCCCATGGCTGTGCCCCTGCCCAGTCATGTTAAATCCATAGATTAGGGCCTAATGAATGTATTTCAATTGGCTGATTTCCTCATATGAACTGTAACTCAGTAAAATCGTTGAAATTGTTGCATGTTGTGTTTATATTTTTGTTCAGGGCTACATACAGTACAGTTGGTTAGGGCTACATACAGTATTTGTATATAATCCATGGAAATCAAACTCACCAAATCGCTCATATTAAAGAAGCAAAAATGTTCAGGACAAATATACAAAAAAGGAACCTGTTGTTCCCTTCTCACTGAGACAGTAAGATGGAGGACATACTCCCATACAGGAGACAGTAAGATGGAGGACATACTCCCATACAGGAGACAGTAAGATGGAGGACATACTCCCATACAGGAGACAGTAAGATGGAGGACATACTCCCATACAGGAGACAGTAAGATGGAGGACATACTCCCATACAGGAGACAGTAGATGGAGGACATACACCCATACAGGAGACAGTAAGATGGAGGACATACTCCCATACAGGAGACAGTAAGATGGAGGACATACTCCCATACAGGAGACAGTAAGATGGAGGACATACTCCTATACAGGAGACAGTAAGATGGAGGACATACTCCCATACAGGAGACAGTAAGATGGAGGACATACTCCCATACAGGAGACAGTAAGATGGAGGACATACTCCCATACAGGAGACAGTAAGATGGAGGACATACTCCTATACAGGAGACAGTAAGATGGAGGACATACTCCTATACAGGAGACAGTAAGATGGAGGACATACTCCCATACAGGAGACAGTAAGATGGAGGACATACTCCCATACAGGAGACAGTAAGATGGAGGACATACTCCCATACAGGAGACAGTAAGATGGAGGACATACTCCCATACAGGAGACAAGGGGTTAAATGAGCCTAAAGGTTGGTAATGATGAACAATAATACAAAGCTGTAAATGTCTCATGAGCTCTAACATCATAATCCAAATGATAGCTTAATTGTTTAAACTGTATAGCTTCAACATATCTTTTAAATATCATGTTGATCTCATGAACAGTCAGTCATTGCATCCATAGCTCCAAGGACATCTAATGAATAAACTGAACAGGTTGAATATAACAATAAATACAATTTATTTTCACTTCAGCATCATTATAGTTTTAAAGGTGTGAACGTACAGTTCAGATTCCATAACTACAACAGTGTGTGAATCGACAAGCTTTTCTTATTACAGATATCATTGGTTATGAAAACATGTCCTCCTGGAACATAAGTTATCATCATAGAAAACGTCACAAAATAACTTGTAGTACAAAATAACAAAAATACAAATATGAACAAAATACTAACATATTACATGTATGGGAAGTAAGTATTCATTTAAGATTAGCCCTAAAACGCAATCTTTGTCCCAAATAGCACCATATTGTTTAAATAGTGCACTACTTTTGACCAGAGCCCTGTGAGCCCTCGTCAAAAGTAGTGCACTACATAGGGAATAGGGTGCCATTTGGGACGCAACCCCAGTGTCTGAGGCCTGCTCTAAGACTGCTTCCTGTTTGGTGTCGTGGGAGGAACTTCATGGTGTGAGGCTCCCCCTCCTCCTCCACGGGCTGCTGTGATAGGTTGTTGGTCTGTGGGAGGCGGTCTAGAGTCAGGCCCTCATGAGGACACACAGAGTACCGTGACAACAGCGTAACCAGGATAGATTTCATCATCACCATGGCGATGTGCTTGCCAACGCAGGAGCGAGGGCCGGACCCAAAAGGCTGGAAGAAACGATTAGGTACCTGAGAGAGAGAGAGAGAGAGAGAGAGAGAGAGAGAGAGAGAGAGAGAGAGAGAGAGAGAGAGAGAGAGAGAGAGAAATAAATAATTAGTAAATATCTTTACACCTCAGGGTGCAGATGAATTTCTCCCTGTGATAGTCTTGATTATTCTCTTACAGTTTTCTCAAAGTTGTCCAGACTAAACTCATTGGGCTTGAGGAAGAACTCTGATCTGTGCATGCGGCCCATGTTCAGAATGATGTTTGTCCCCTTCGGCACCCTGTAGCCATCGATAACGTCATCAGACAGCGCCCGGCGCATGGTGAAGTCCACCACGGGATGGAACCTTAGGGACTCGTTGATGAAGCTCTCCAGGACCCTTAAATTCTGCAGATCAGAGTTGTGGAGCTCCCCATCGCCTACAGGAAGAGAAGAGGGAGATGCTCTTCAAACTGCCACATATTCAATAAAGCTACATTGACCTCAAATTAGAGGGTTTAGTTAAATTGGAATTGAGGCAATTCACCAGATTAAAGAAATGACTGTAGTTGTCCGGGTTTAATGGGTCCTGACCTATAACTAGTAAAAGAGAGAAGCTGCAGCAGGAGGTTCCTTACCTATAACAGTATCTATCTGTTCTCGAAACTGTAGCTCTTTGTTAACAAATTGTGAAGGACTGACCTATTATACATTTTACATTTGAGTAATTTAGCAGATGTTCTTATCCAGAGCGACTTACAAGAGCAATTAGGGTTAAGTACCATGCTTAAAGGCACATCGATAGATTTTAACAGTGTCTATCTCTTCTAAAAGCTGTAGCTCTATGTTAACAGATTGTGAAGGGGGGACTCACCTATAGTGTCTATCTCTTCTAGAAGCTGTAGTTCTACGTCAGGGTTCTGTTTGAGTAGCAGCAGCATGAAGAAGAGACTGATAGACAGAGTGTCTGGGGCTGCTATCACCATCTCCAACACACACTGCCTCACATTCTCAGCTGACAGCTCCCCGTGGCTCTGAAAACACACAATCACACATCAGATTAGTTGACTCACTTAGGCTACTCAGGCTATGTTATTGTTATCCATGCTTTAACATAAGAAAGCGGAAAAAAACGGCAGACTATAATTGTCACGCCCTGACTCTGGGGACTCTTATTTGTTGAGTCAGGGTGTGTATTTTCTATGTGGTGTAGGTCTATGTTATGAGTCTAGTATGTCTAGATCTATGTTGGCCGGTGTGGTTCCCAATCAGAGGCAGCTGTCGCTCGTTGTCTCTGATTGGGGACCATACTTAGGCAGCCTATTGGCACTAGTGGGTTGTGGGATCTTGTTCTGTATAAGGTTTGTTGTGTTACCTTAGGACTTCACGTGTCGTTAGTTTATTGTTTTGTCGTGTGTTTATTCGTGTAAATAAACATGTTTGCATATCACGCTGCGCCTTGGTCTGACCCGTCCTTCAACGAACGTGACAGAAGATCCCACCAAACGAGGACCAAGCAGCGTGCCCAGGCGGAGTGAAGGGCCATGTCACAGGTGGGCAAGTTGTGGTCATGGGAAGAGATATTTGCGGGGAAAGGACCATGGGCTAAGGTAGATGCCCAGGCAGGAGAGGAGCAACGGCAACACGGAGGAGGCCGGTCAAGGAGGAAGCCCGAGAGGCAGCCCCAAGAACATGTTGGGGGGGGGGCACACTGGGGTGGTTGGCGGAGCCTAGGGTTAGAGCAGAGCCAACTCCCCATACTCACGCGAGAAGGCGTATGACTGGGCAAGCTCCGTGTTATGCGGAGCTACGTACTGTGTCGCCAGTGCGCCGGCACAGTCCATGTACGTCCTGTGCTTGCACCACACACGTGCCGTGCGAAGATGGGCATCCAGCCAGGACGGGGTGTGCCGGCTCAACGCTCCTGGTCTCCAGTACGCCTCCTCGGTCCCGCATATCCTGCGCCAGTTCTACGAGCTGTATCGCCAGTACGCGTGCACAGCCCAGTGCGCCCTGTGCCAGCGCCCCGCACGTGTAGTGCGAAAGTGGGCAGCCAGCCAGGACGGGTTGTGCCAGCTCTCCGCTCCAGACCTCCAGTCCGCCTTTGCCAGCCCGGCCCGGCCTGTTCCTGCCCCTCGCACCAAGCCAGTGGTGCGCGTCGCCAGCCCGGCCCGGCCTGTTCCTGCTCCCCCGTGGTGCGCATCCCAGCCGCCCGGCTTTGCGC